CCCCCACACTTTTAGAAGCTTCCTACGTCCCTGGATAAGGGATTTCACTACTTTGACAAATATCCAAACAAAGAGCAATGTCTTGTTACCGAGAAAGAAAATTTCCACCCACACACCCGTTCATGTTCCTTGTTCCGTCCATGTTCCTTGCATGGGTATTAACTAATGTTATGCGAGGACTGTTCAAGAACAATTTGTCAAGAACGACTATCGAACAATTTTCTCATGGAAAATTAGCGCTATGTAAATACTTAAATTGGTTTATGTTTAAACAAATAAATTTGGGATTCGAACAAGACTATTACAAAGACGATATGTTCGAAGGGGCCGAAGTTATTTTCGGCGAAAGGTATGGCTAGTGTATATTTTTGTTCAGACAATTGCGTAATTTGATACAATATGATCGTGTTTGACTTTCAAAGGCCTATAAATCGCTACAATGTTTATAATGACTATAACTATACGGAGGAATTAGTTGAATCTTTTAATTCTGAATCGAATGGTGCGGTCTTCATAGCATACACTGAACCGAAAATATGAAATTTCTTGCCATCGTTCTCACAGGAACGACGCAACTGGGGGCGGGTGAAAAAGATTAACGTGCTTGAATCATTAATGCCTAAAACATGCACTTCTTTCCTTTTCAATGGAGCTGTAAATTTCCTAAATTAGTAAATTACTCCGTTTAATTTAAGATAAAAATTTAAAATGTAAGGGAGAGCAAATTAATTTGAAGATCGAACTGAAATTACTCAACAGTTGGACCATATTAACTTGTTTTATTATATAGCAAGCATCACTTCCGGTGAAATGGCAGACTGTGATTGGCGCTGAGAAGCACTTTCAGTAGCCTGCGCGCAGACTATATAATGACACTTCGCCTTTGCCGCCTGCGCTCCTTCGCCCAGCGGCTACGCTCGTGTTTCAAGATCCGCCATGTAAAGTGTAGTGAAATGTATTCATCGTAATATTAAATCCTAAGAAAACTAAAGCCTCTGCGGAGGAGAGAGACCGCGACCATAGTCTGCGAATCCGTGGCATGAAGCTTGTATGGTCACGTGGATTTCCCGAGAAAAGTTGGGACGAATTGTGATTGGTTGAACTATAATTATGCAGAATTAATGTTAATTCATCGGACATTGCGTTCGCAACGCGCGTTGGGCTGTTCAAAAT